AACTTCTATTTCTATAATCCATTTTCAGTAATCTATATATCTCGTTGGTCATCTTTTCACTTTCCTTATTTTAGTGTTCAATTCAACTGGACTTTGGTTGGGTTCTGTTTTAATTAGATCAGCAGAATTTATCAAGATATAAATAAAGTTTATTAACATATATACGCTTCTAAATCTGGGGAAGCCATATTTCTCTAGATTCTCAAGATAAAATATTAATTTGAGTTGATAAGACGACAGATAGGAAAACATTATTTATACTAAGAGGTTTACAGAAGGTAAGAAGTAATTATTTGTGAAATGACCTCGCGGTCTTAAACTAGGCTAGACCAGAGTTTATATTTTAATATAGAATCAGATCTACAGAATTGATCAACATTTTTACATTTAAAACAGCAATATCTCTGGATAAAATATTAAAGACGCCGATCCCTATATCGTTTATTTATTAGCCAATATTTTATATTTCACGACTTGATCCCCGCAGAAATGTCTCACATTGATTGTTTAAAAGCAAGTTTAAATTGTCAACAGTAGATAATCTCCCGGCTTGGGTTCAATCGGATCAATGGGTGGCGCTGGCTTGTTTATATCATCTGTAGTGTAGATGATGCAGCATTTTCAAATCATCATATCTTTGTATATATCAATCTGATTAAAACACAGTGTGTGAAATAGCTTTATTTAACGTCCGCTTCCACCGAGGTGATATCGCAGACAAGAAAAACACAGATCCTGGAAGAGTTGTTATATAACCCGCGTTCTGGTTGAATTGAGGGATTAGCCAATTAAACGATCTGTTACGGCGAGTTCTTGGCGTCCGATGTACGGAACTGTGGGTAAACCACTAGAAACGTCAACGCTGATTGATTAATCAATGTCTGACGTCATACTTTGTTAAAAATGGGTGTAATTAAAAACTATAAGCAGTGTTAATTAAGTGTAATCTTTACACCACAGCTAGCGTTTTTCAAATGTAATACCTTTCCAAGGGTAACCAGCTAAAAGAATTACACCTAACAAGTGTAACCGATATTCACGACTACTGAACACCTGCGTAGGTGTAATTGTGGGGTGTTTTGGATAAGGTACACCACTACATGTGTTATACTGCATTTACACCAAAGGGTGTAACTTTTATTGGGGAATAAATCCACAACAGCGTTAATTTTACAGCGTTTATTGGGTTGCAAAAGGGTAATTGTAGCCGCTAAAGGGTATTTGGGATGAGCTACCCCTCTACAAGCGTTTTATTGCATTTACACCAAAAGGTGTAAATATTTTAGGGAAACATTACTCCGAATAAGGTGCCAATTTTACACCGTATCTTGCGTTACAAAAGTATGCGTGTACTTCAATTTGAGTTGGGGTTTTTTTTGGGGGGGGGGGTGAAATATGTTGTTTTTTTGTGTAAAATATGGCGTTAATTGCATTAGTAACACAACTATAACTCATTTTGGGGGGTTGGATGGCTGAATGGTTAGCGTGCGCGCGCTGTATCGTAAAGTCTGTTATTGAGTCGACTGGCGTGGTTTCGAATCCCCGGTTGTACGTGACAAGGAGTAGGGTCACCTGTCCAACCTCGTGGGTTTTCTCCGTGTCCTCCGGTTTCCTCCCACTGCTAAAGACCCCTATGCGCAAGCGAATTATTGAAATAAAATTAAACCATATTATTATGTTAGTCCCGAAATGACCTAGTTTGTGTTGAGTGGACGTTAAACCCCATTTCTCTCTCTCTATAACTCATTTTAGAGTGTTTACTCATAACGAATATCATTCAGAATATTATCATGTATAATAATCTTAATAATATTTCAAAACCTCCTCAAGTATAGATTATTTCAGCTTGTATACACTTAAAGACGTCCGTCTTCATTAGCCCAGTATAGGAGCAGAACAGTAGGACGTTAAACCCCATTTCATTTCATTTAATACTTAAAGGCGTGTAAATGTTCCAAAATATTACCAAGTAGGCTACAATATCTTATTTAATTATTCTTAATTCAGGCGAGGTGCGTAAATGAATAAACCACATTATTCAGCTACGTTGTAAGGATATGTGTATTGATTTTTCCGCATGATTTATATTCATTGTAAATTGATACATATTGTCTAATTGCCCAACAGCAGTTGAATTTGAATCAGTCTGATGGATATTTTCTCAATTTAATGTCGTTGTAAAATGAAGTAGCCGATCGTCTATATGTAAAGGGTGCTGCCATGATTATATTTCACCAAAACTGTGTCATAGGTATCTTCTATTTTATTTTAAATGGAATGAAGATAATAAATCCATACTATCTTCCCAAATTATCGATGTTTCCGCGTTTTATTTCCACAAGTTCTTAAAACAATGAAATGAAAAGATTTATGCTCAGTAGATTACCGCCATTCATCTGACATGAGAAAACATGTTTAACATTTTCATTCCGTCGCGTTGTCGATTACTGACCCTTTGCACGAGGTTACGATGTAATTTGTTGAATTACTGTTAAATACACACACATAAGCCTACATATAGATAGTAATTAGGAATATCGAAAGACCACTTGAAAAATGGATTAATATTTATACGCCGATTATATCATAGTTAATCGATTCGTTATCTCATTCAGTATTCAAAGACAAATTCGCACACGTGTTTGATCAAATACATAAAATTCTATACTGCTTTTAAGGTTGCCTCGGTGGCTCAATGACTATGTAATGAAATGAAATGAAATGGGGTTTAACGTCCTACTGTTCTGCTCCTAACTGGGCTAATGAAGACGGGCATACGCCATACAGTGTGCTATGGGGGAAATTTTGCCTGGGCAGCGGCGCTACGGCCAACTCTTATATCGAATTCCAACTGCCAAGGGATCTTTTACGTGCACGCCAATGTGTACACGGGACCTCGGTTTTTCGTCCCATCCGAACGACTAGACAGCTGTCCTTGTCAGGCCCTCCGTCCTGCATCACTGACAAGAGGAAACCACGCCGGAAAATCGGGATGAACTTTCTCGGCCAATGCAGGGATCGAACACCCGACCTCCAGGCTAGCGAGCCATCGTCTTACCCACTTAGCCACGTGATCCCCTCAATGACTATGAATATTATTTACTCGTATTCATCTTACATTCAGATGTAAGAAAACAGACAATCCGAAAACCTTCAGTATAAAACAATCAGTTGTCTGTTGTATGGCTCAACAAAACATGGTCCTGAGATAAACACACTTATTTTCCAAGCAGTTCAACAATTTATTCATTTATCAAAAGGATTTAAATCTCCATAAAATGATTCTTGTTATTTCAGTCCTGCACACCGCACACCTATCTAATATCCTCGCCTTTCTCAACTGGTTTGTGGGATTTGGAGGTGTTGGATGATTGTACGTTGTGCGTCTTATCATACCCAAAAAACATTACCAAACAGTATTTTCAGAATACACTTCTACCTACTAAAATTATTTATATAAAAAATGTCTCTATATTATCCAGTATATGTATCCTATAGAAAAACTATAGAAACTTTATTGCATAAAAAAACCTTACAAGGTTATGTGCATATACAAATAAAAATAATATAGAAATGTACATGAAACAAACAAAGGACACATACATGGACATAATTATACAAAGATACACAACTTTATTATGACACGAACGAATTGTATACAAAAGCTCCTAAACATTTTAAAATTTCTACAATTTTATTCATCATCAGTATTTTTTAAATTGTTGTAAATCCAAATTCAGATATTTACAAATAAAAATATTGTTTATAAAAAAAAATAATAAAAATATGTCGTTGGCTCACACAGCTGGAATTTCCGGAGGTTTCCAGTATGGTGTTCCCGTGTTGGTAATGCAGTACGGAGGGTCTGGTAGGGAAAAGGCGTCTAGTCTTTCAGATGGGACATAAAAACCGAGATCCTCCCCGTGTACTCGTTGGCGTGCACGTACAAAAAAACCTTTGTCAGTTTGAATTCGAAGAAGAATAGGTGGAAATGCCCATGCCCGGGTACTATTTCCCTCAAAGCATGACGCATGCCTTTCTTCCCGGTTGGCACAGAAAAGATGCTAAATACAATTGATTCATTCTATACGAAAATTAAATAAAGGCTGTAGGCCGGGAATTACCAATCAACTATATTTTCAAATTCCTAGTTTCTATGGTAAAACTAGAGTATATATTTTAAAGAGATTTTACTCTATACTCAGTTTTTAGTTTTTACCTTTCTGTAGATTATACACTGCTCCTTTTCAACCTTATGCTAGGTATTTTTGATATATATCTCAGAAAACTAAAAATGACATAGTAGATATGCAAGTTTGAAATATTTTTTTTTTCATATATTTGAAAGTTTTAAAAATATTATGAATTTCTAGCGTACGATTTCACGGGAATCCATGGTGTCATTCATGGTCAGTTTAAAAAATTTACAATGACCCTATAAGTTGAAACATAGCAGCCATTTGGGATGTAGACGTGGTTTCAATAGACTAAAACCTGACGTAGATCTGTATCTTGCTAAACAGATACGACGTACTTTCTTTTTTGTCCTTTAAAAATAAACCAAAAGAGATCGAGACCTTTCAGTATACCCTTAATACGACAGGAACGACAACTTGAATATAATTATATATTTATAAAAATAAAGAATCTGTATTTTGAATTATTTCAGATATCTCACAGACGATATGCTCCTGGGGCCCACAAATGGTATCGGATAAAATTTTCATAATTTATTACATTCTATAGATTTTCCATAAATTTCATAAACGCCGATAGTTATAATAATAAATTCGACAAATAGTCACGACTAGAGTCATAGACAGCTTGTGCATGTTTAATTGTATTGAAAACTTATTGATTTATTTATTCATAAATAGAGAAAGTATTTCAAAATAGAGATATCGGTTTTACAAATAGCCCCGCCCTCACTTATTAAAATAATTCCATGACATATATATATATATATAACGTGATGATGTTAAGACGTTAATGCCAGTCATTTTAAAGTCGATATATGATCCAAAAGGAAACGGAGCTCCACGTTGAACTGTTTTGGTGTAGTAATGCTGGCTGGAATTCGGTTCAGAGAAACGGTTATTACTTGACTACTGTGTGAGTCAGCTTGTCTGGTAAGCTTACACTGTCTATTAATACACGAGAAACCAAATGATCAACTGTATGAGAGGCAATAGAAGTTTTTAGAGTCGAGTACAGTAACAGACGAACTGCCACTGTAAGGGACCGTTCACCATCTAGGTAAAACAGGCGTGTACCATCGGCCGGCTGGGTATAAAAACACGCGTGTGGTCAGTTTAGGATTATAAATATATTAATACTCGTGTGGTTTAAGAAGAGAAACAACAACATTAGAATTCAGAGACATCCAATACAGCTAATAACATCGACAGACAAGTTAAAATATCAAAACCCATATCACTCAAGTACAGCGGACGTCAGAGTGAGCAGCTTAATATCAGGAATGAGATAATTAGATTGATTAGAAGAAGACAAATAAAGGATTTGTTTACTATTGACGGTATGAGAAACAGGTTAGTTATTAAATACATATATACGTATAGTCTATAAATATATATATTATATATATACAACACGTGTAGGGATGTAAGCATGTTGTTCATCCATGCACGTGTATATAAGATGTAAGAGATATAGCAACATTACGTTAATTTATAGGCTACATTCTGTTTATACCAAAGTAAATTTTGCCTTTGGCTTACAGCTACTTTATAGTACTCGAGTTGAAAGTATTTTATACTTCAGTCTTTGGTTAAACTGCACCAGTTAAGAGGTTGTGTTGATATGATTAAGAAGAGGGTGTTCTTCTGATTATTGTATATGGGCAGTTCCGGAGTTAGATTAAGAGAGGTTCTAGGCTATTCCACTCGTGTGGTCCCGCCCAATTCGCCACCCTCATGACTATAGGCCTTAGAGGAAGATGGGAGCGTTTGTTTTCATGGTAATGATAGGGGTTAAAGAGAGAGAGAGATAGAGAGAGATGAGAGAGAGAGAGGTTTTAACGTCCACTCGACGCAAACTAGGGACTAACACATCGTTCAATTTTATTTCTATAATTCGCTTGCGCGTAGGGGTCTTTAGCCATGGGAGGAAACCGGAGGACCCGGAGAAAACCCACGGGGTTGGACAGGCGACCCTACTCCTTGTCACGTACAACCAGGGAATCAAAACCACGCCTTATGATACAACGCGCACGTGCTTACCATTCGGCCACCCTCCCAGGGGTAAAAGATTACAGTGCAAGTAAGAAAGGCCTATAACAGTGTCAAAAATATTACCCCCACCACCCCGATCCTGAGGCCCTAGGTAAATCTGACACTCGGAATGGGTGTAGCATTGTGGAAACACCGAGACAACCCCATCTTTGGAGTAAGACTGCTATGATTAGCATGTATTAGGTCGATGTTTTATTTATGTTATTAACCCATCAAAATGGAACGGGAAAGTATTTTCCGTGCAGAAAGTAACACTAGTTTGTTTACTTGAAAAAAAAGAACATGTATGATATTTCCCTTGTTGATTGTTGTCCATTTTTATAACTCAACGAAGTAATTTGTCGACCACACACGTAGCAATATATTCCGTAGAGATCACTCAAAATTGATTAGTCTTTCGCGATTATACGAAAGCTATTCGATTCGTTAACTCATTCCCTAATCAAGACAATTAAGACACTTGTTAAGATACATATATATGAACACGTGTGTTTTATATGTTACAACCACGTGTTTTCTTTAAATATCACACACTCTGATATTTACGAATGAATCTACCAAAAGAAAAAAAAGCAAGAATGAAAGGCACCAAAATATTGTCATATTCTTAGATTGTATGTTATTGAGTTTTTGAAATTGATTTCATGCTCGGATTGGGATTTCACTTGACTTTTATCAAAATAAAACACTTTCTCATAATATTTTGATTTCTATTTTTAAATCATTATAGGTTTTAGAACACCCGATACCATATTTATAGTAATGATTGATAAAACTATACAAGTTTTGTTGTACATAACATTGTTTGAATGGCCAATACATAACATTATTGACTTCCATTATATACTCGATATTGTAAATGCCCCTTCGACCGTCCAACCTAAATTGATTGAAAAGAAGGATATGTCTGATTTTATACGATGTTGAGATTTAGAATAATTATGTGTAAGGTATTAGGAACCTAGAGCTTAGACCATATTTGACAGGTCGAATTTGTCTCATGCCCAAATACATTTTAATTCATACTCATTTTTAATTTTTTCTCTCTTTTTCATACATTTATGGGTCAGCAAGGCCAGGGGCGGGTCCAGGAATTTTTGCAGGAGGGGGTTTTCCAGGTTCCTGAGAATATGTATCTCCCTCGACCCGCCCTCACATTGTCTCTAAGAGTGTGTGGGTCGAAGTGTTCGGATGGTAAAAGAATCGGGGTTCTGTATAGATTTGTATTGCGTGTAAAACAATCTGATTAAAACACAGATCCTATTTCGTTTCGTTTTTTTATAGTTCAAAATTTCGTTTTACTTGTCTTTACTACACAAGGTTGTTGTTGTTCTTAGTGTTTAACGTCCGCTTCCACCGAAGGTATATCGCAGACAATTCTTTTATTTTTTTTCATTTTTATTATCTTAGCGCACGCGTAGGGGTCTTTCCTGTGGGAGGAAACCGGAGTGCCCGGAGTAAACCCACGAGGCTGAGAAGACGCCCCTATCTCCAAGCCACATACGCTCACACCAGGGATCGAAACCACAATTACCGCAAGCCAGAGGTGATCGGCCAGCTAGATGTCGAAGCGCGGCAATCTAGACCACTGTGTTTGAAAACCCAGGGGAATGGTATGGAATGTTTTAGAAAGGTTACCTATAACCTGCTTCATTAGAACTGTAACCATATATTATACTTTCATTGCTTTGTAATGGTTTAAATCACTCATCGTTACCCATCCTTACAATATGTTTATATTATACTACATGCCATCGCAGACATAATATATACACTGAGATTCTCATCATCCTGCTCATAGATATAATAAATTCGCCCCGCCCTTTTTATTCTTATTCTCCGATAGTTATTGCTACTCCCTCACTTCTACTAAACCCCAACAAATATGAACCAGACCTAATAAATCATATAGATATCCCCAATCTATAAAACTATTTCTCTGGACTAAAACTCTTATCAAACATGTGTATATATAAATCTGTGTATATATAATGTTTGTCAGATTAAGCGATAAAAGATTAACCTGTGAAGTTTATTTTGATTATAGATAAGAAATTAGATTAACAGAATTTTCGCAGACCCGGCGGGTGTCGGTATGCAAATCGAATGAATCAAATGAGGTTTAACGTCTTCATTATCTACACGAATTTAGCTAATGAAGACGTTACGCCATGCAGTTCTATGCGGCAAAATTTGCCCTTACAGCGGCGCAACGGCCTACTCATATTTCGATTTGCAGCTGTCAGGAGATATTTAAAGTGTTTCCAGCTGTATACACGAGACCTCCATTTCTCGTCCCATCCGATCTACTAAACGTTCCCCCCGCTAGATTATCCGTCCTGTATTTAAATCAAACAATTAATTGCATTTGTGATGTGTCTGAAAATGTCACTTCGAGAAAGTGAGGATTTTTCATCCACTTGTTCATTGTGTCGTATGGTAATTATAAACGCAGTCTGATTAAAATACAGAACTATATTTCGTTTTTCGTTTATTTATACTTTGGATGGCCTACACTACAATAAGATCTGGCCGGTTGTAGTGGAGGGTCGCGTAAGAGGTCATACGAGCGGCTTTTGGCCCTATGGCGTCAGACATTGATTAATCAACCAGCGTTGACGTTTCTGGTGGTTTACCAGCAGTTCCGTGCATCGCACGCCAAGAACTCGCCGTAATAGACCGTTTCATTGGCTAATTTCTCACACCAGAACGCGGTTTACATAACAACTCTTCCAGATCCTAGTGTTGTGAAGACAAGTAATACGAAATTTTGAAATATAAAAAACGAAACGAAATAGGATCTGTATTTTAATCAGATTGTTACCAACGCGAAAATCAACAGCTTTTCTGTACCGACTAGGCTAATGAAGAAGGGCTTTACTTTGTGCTACGAGGGAAATTTTGCTCGAGCACCGGTTCTATGGAGCACTCTTATATCGAATTCCAATTGCCAAGGCACGCCATTGAGTAAACGGGACCTAGGTTTTTTGTCCTATCCGAACGACTATAAGTTTTCCCTTGCCAGGCCATCTGTCCTGCACCAGTGACAAGGGGGAACCACCCTTCATACAGAATAAACACACGCTCACATATATCTGTACCGTCCTATATTGAGACGTTGAAACGATAATAGGCTTTTACTACTGCCGTCGAGAAGCTTACATATTTCCTTTGACGGACTCATCATCATCTTCAATGAAATGATAATAGGTTTTGTATTAAGCTTCCATAGACCCTTTAAACTGGCATCTTCATTGAAAGTATATACATGTTGATTTGATGAAAATGTTTATAATGAGTCTATATATTAATTGATGGTAATCATTTCATACGAACAATACACTGAACTTCCTCCATAGGATACCCCAGACTTCTATTGGAAGTAAATAACGATATTAATTGAAATTTACCAAGATCCATGTCTATTATATAAAGGTAGTACATTCAGTTTTTACTACATTTTATACAGTTGAAGATTGCCACTGTTTGTGTCTCATATGACGATGTAATAATCAATAATAATGAATTGGGTTGGTATAACTTTTCTGCACCAAGCAGGTTAAGGAAAATCAGACATACCCATGTTGTGTGCTATGAAGGAAAATTTGCCTGGACAGCGACGGCACTGATCCATAACGTTTTGTCAAGGGTATACCCGGGTCCCGGTTTATCGTACCATCCGAACTACTATTCGTTTTTTCTGCATCATTGACGAGAGTCTTCTCGGCCAACACCAACCTATTTTAAGACCGAATCCTTATAAATAATACAAAACGATTAGTTCAGTATTTCGTAATTTCGTCCGAAACTCTTTTTTAAGTATCAATTAGGGGGTTTCAGGCCGTATTTCATAATCCCCAACAAAGAAGAGATTATATATTCTTTTTCGCTTTATTTATCTTACCTCGTAACCTTTTCAACTCAAGATATCATCAACAACAGATAGATAGGTTAATCGTTCTTGTTTAACAGCCAAACTAATATTATAATACTAACTTTGAAAACAGTCCTTGATAATTTATTTGAAATGTAAGCTACTCGGTTTTATGTCGACTTGTTTAGTAATAAACACCTATTAATAATAATAATAATAATATATTTATTCATTTGGCGTCTGAAATCCAACTGTGATTAAATTTTCTCGGTGGTGCCGATACATACATTAAACATATCACAGTTAGATAAACGAGAAACAAAATCAGTATAATTGAATAGAGAAGGTTTGTTTGAATAATGGACATTTTGTTGTTGAGTTCGTTTTGAAATGAAAGATGAAATGGTGTTTATGCACCAACTGG